TAGCAGACCTCGGGCAGAGCCTGAGGATTCGGGAGCGCAGCGTCCTTAAACAGAGCAGAGGCGGCAAACAGCGGGCGCAGGGATACTGGTGACTTGCCTAGATTGGCAGTTTACTTAAGTTTATCAAGCTCCTTGGGGTTCTTGTATGCAAAACACTGTACGGAGGTGCTAAAAGTACTTCTTGCACTGCTTGCTTTCTTTCTAGAATGGCAGCAGCAACCTGTGTGTAATGCTTGTGTTTTTTCACTAGACAATGAATGACTGGGCCCCCATAGCAAAAGAGTATGACCCCCTCAAAGCCGGCAGCATTGATGGCACAGATGAAGAGCCCCACGACCGTGCCATATGGAGGGCTATGTTGGCACGGTATGTACCCAACAAGGGAGTTACAGGAGATCCTCACCTCACTCTGTTTGTAGCAAGGCTCAATCTTCAAACAACAGAAGAGAAGTTGAAGGAGGTTTTTTCCCGGTATGGAGACATCAGAAAGATCCGACTGGTTAGAGACTTGGTTACAGGATTTTCCAAGGGTTATGCGTTTATCGAGTACAAAGAGGAACGTGCTCTGTTGAAGGCCCACAGGGATGCCAACAGGCTGGTTATTGACCAGCATGAGATCTTTGTGGACTTTGAATTGGAAAGAACTCTCAAAGGGTGGATTCCTCGCAGGCTTGGAGGTGGTTTTGGAGGCAAAAAAGAATCTGGGCAGCTACGATTTGGGGGACGGGACAGACCTTTTCGAAAGCCCATCAATTTGCCAACCATGAAAAATGATTTCTATGGAGAGGGATCAACAGAGAAAAGAAACTGGTCTCGTGAAGGAACGAGGGACTGGAGAACAAGGGATCGAGACTATGAAAGGAACAGAGACAAGAGATGGCCGGAAAGGGAGCGGTCCTGGGCTTGGGGTGAAAGTGAGAGAGAGAGGGACTCCAAGGAGGACAGGAGCAGAGGAAGAGAGAGGAAGGACAGAGACAGGAAAGACAGGGACAGAGACCGAGACACCAAGAAACAAAGAGATGATGATAAGCATCGATAGGTGCCTATCCCTTGTCTGTAATTATAGGAAGCTTGGGTATGGTTATCTACTGCCATCTTTCTCTCAAAATAGCATGAACTGAGTCCTGCTGCTCCAACTACTGGCACGTTTTGGTCCAGGTTGGGACCTACCTCTGCTGTCATGGTAAATGAGCTGGTATGGAGGAGGTGGGATGCAGCAGGCATCCAGGTCTCTGGATAAAGCTGGTGTACGTCCTTCTGGAGGTCACGGATGGGTTTAAGTTGCAGATGTTATCTTCAGCTTAGGGCTGTGACCTGCATTCACTGAGCAAGCAACTGCAATGTTACTGTCCTGTGCCTGCAACTATAACCTGCTATAAGCTCTTTGTCGTTCTGTTTCTAATACAGTTAAGATACTTGTTGTTGAGTTTTTCTTTGGCGAAATTAAACATTTCTGTTAATATTCTGAACCAGTGAATGCTATGAGAAATGCACAGCATGTACTGGCATGCCTGGCATGGCAGTGAAATTGAGTACACACCTCATTTGACACCTGTCTGGCTGCTTGGAGTAGGGTTCTTGAGAGGGTCCATCCTTAATTATTTATGTGCCAGATGTCCACACTCGTTTTGCAAGACAAATGCCCTTTATGAAGGCACTTGTCGAAGAAATAGCAATGAAATAACAAGGAATAGCAGCAAACTAAGTTTAAGCTTCCTAAAAGCGTGGTCCCTGACAAAAGCTGATGGGAAGTGACTTATGTTCTTGAAGACACTGGGACAGGTGAGATCCTTAGTATTACTATATCCTTGACTAGTTCTGTGAGGTGTGAGAGGGAAGCATGTAGTAAGAAAGGTATTTTTATATCTCACAGGAGAGTACCATTCCCTGTAGAATGCACACTACAGAGTAGTAACAGGTCAGAAAACTGCTAATTTCGTGATCAATAGATGCTGTAACAGTGGACAATCACCAAAGGAAAGTATTTGAGTGTCTCTGCCTATCCCTTTGTTTTTAAACCCCTGCAGTAATTAACGCCCCTGCGGTGACTCCAGAAGATTTCCGAACACATTTTAAACTGTATTTTTGTCAGCCTTTGAATGGCATTCCCTACTATTCACACTCTAGTCTAATTCTCTCTGTGGTTCTTGCATCTCTTAGTTTAATTTACACTAGGAACTGAACAGAAATAAGTGCTCTGGGCTGGCCTAGTTTATATTTAGCTGCTTGCAGCAGTGAGGGACCTTTGCTCTACCGAAGGACTACTGTGGTGCAGGGAATTCAGTCTTGTCCCTTTTTTTGTTGTTGTTTTTCCCTGGAAAGACTGTTTCGGCCTAGAGAATGACACAGGAGTGTCAGTCTGCTGCTCTCTGCTGTTTAAGGATTTCTTTGTGTGGTGAAAGCCTACAGGAAGATGAAGGTGCCTTTTCCACTGTAGGGACTGAGCTGTGTAATTCATGCCCTTCATAAATGGTTATATACAACAACAGAAGTGACTCGTGCATCTTCTTTTAGGCAGAAATTACTTGGCTCTTTTGCTTTTTATATGGACTTCTATCCTAAACATTGCCCAGTTTGAGGCCTTATTTCCATGAAGAGTTGTGTGAGGCAATGGGGGAAAGACAGACCCCTAAGTTGCATCCCCAACAGTAGACAGCACTGGGAGGCCTTCCACAAAGGACGCAAGTCTCCTAGAAATATTTGTTTTCCAGAAATATTTATTAAACTGTTAAAATGATTTACTGCCCAACCGAAAAAAAAACCAAAAAAAAAAACTTAAATGAACCTGCACTTTGCATGCAGGATTGTTATGCCCTTTACCTGACAACCTCCTGGCCCCTTTTTTAAAAGCAGGTTTTACTTGAATATTGAGAAACTACATGACTGATCTTCAGCTCTTTACATACTCTTTCCTATGTGGCATCCTTTCTGATGGCCACTTGGCGTGTATAAACTCAGCATTCTTTTTAAAAAAAAAAAAAATGAAGTAGTTAAATTAGCAGGTCAGGAGTAACTATTTAGATTTTTGAGGTAATGGGGTACAGAGATGAATGGGGGGAAGGCGGTACTGCTTAGTGTCATTGTCTGAACTTGGCTGCAAATTTGACCTAACGATAGTGCACTGGATCCTAGCCTGTGGGACTAGCTTTACACGAACTAACTAGGTCTGGAGACTTCCTTTTTAATATATGAGCTTAGATGCTGGGGGGGAAAAATTGTTCAGTCTGTGTATTTCTGTTATCCCAGTTCATAGCTCTTAGCTGATTTGAAAAGTGATGTGCTTATTCAGGCTGTGAATGTGCTGCATTCTTGCATTGTCTCCTATCACTATATCTCTTGTAAATGTGCCCAATGAGTGTAAACTATGCTAGGGAGAAACTCAACAGGCATCATTCACATGGTGTGATTATTCTGTCAAATCCAGTATAAAACCGTGATTTTTAAACAGCAGCAACGATCTATTTCTGTTTCTAGCTCCCACTGCAACATGTCCATACAAGAACACTTCAGGAGATGTCCAGTGGCTTTTAGGAGGGATGTTAAACCTTTCTCATGGTTAAGGAACAGAAGCGTTACCGACTAACACATGCTCAGGAACCAGGGAACAGCTTTAACTTATTTTAACTGCCTGGTACAAATGTAGTGTATTTGTTTCCTTCTTTTTTTTTTCTCCCAATCTGTAAAAGAAACTGGGATCTTAGCAACTTGCGTATCATTAAATTAAGACTCCCCCTATTTAAGAATTGCCTTTCACAAAAAAGGAGGAATGCTGCCATTTTCTGAATGCAGCTGTAAGCATAAAACAACCTGAGTTAACAAAACTTAACCAGGCTTAGAGATGCAGAAGTATCCCTGCCTAATACGAGCATCAGACATTACTGTCAGTATTTCAAATGTAGATGCCTTTCATATAAGGCTACCTCTTCCCTCCCTTCCCCTCCCCCCTGAAATGCAGTGACAATCTGGAGGGCTGGTAAATGCTTTCCCTAATATTGGAGTTGCAGGCTAGTTGTGCAGCATAGGTCTCCCATGGAAATGTGCTAAGGTATTCCCAACCGTGCTTTGAACTGCTGGGAATGGGCTGCTGGCTGGGGACTGTAAATGAAACCAATATTCAAAAAGACTGTAACCTCTTGGGGAGAGGGAGAAAATACTTGAAAAGTACCCAGAGCACGCTGAAGTGCAAGGTTCAAAACAGCACAGTTACAGTCAGGAACAGAGCAGCCTTTGGCCTACCATTCCAAAAATGGTTTCCTAGCACAGTTTCACTATGGACAGGCTACAAATCGTTCCCTGCCCATACATGTTAGATAACCTATGCTGGAACATTTAAAAAAAAAAACAAAAAACAAAACCCATAGTCTTGACCACCCTAAATTAAAAACGGAAAACAAACACCTTATACTAAACCCTTTTGCTTGCTCTCATCTAGGAGCCCTTGCGGAGACCCTCAGACATTTAGCACCTGGAGTAGTTGGAGCCTTTTTCTGAGTACTAGCTCCTGTTTAGTGCTGCTTCTGAGAGCAGGCTCTTCTCAGAGCAGATCTGGTTGCTGGAGTTAAGATGCCAACAGCAGCCCACAGCTGTCTGCACTACGCTACATTAGCAGAAATTGCCTAGGACCTTGTCATAACTGGAGATACTGCTAACCAGCAGCGCTGTGCTCTGGCGCAGGTCTTGAGCATACAGTCACATCTGCAGGATGACCCTTACACCTCCTTTGCGAAGAACAGTGGCTATACCTGCTCTCTCCTGCCTGAGCAGAGCTTGCTTAGCGTGCTTTTATGGAGCGCGCGGTGCAGATGCTGGGTGCCTCTATGTTGCACAGGGCTTTGCTGTCATGGTTTTTATAAGCCTGACCTCAACTAGTCCCATGGGTTTCACAAGCTTAATTGCAAAGCAGGTCTAAAACCCACTTTCTGACAGCTCAGTTGTATTTATGTGCTGGCACTGTTGGCACATTAAGCCCCCCATAACTGCAGGCTACAAAACCTCAGCTGACACCAGCAGAGCAGCTTGCACATGTAGAATTCATCCATTCTACCACCCAAAGTAGTGTTTAGACTAGTCAGAGAAAAAGTTTGAGTTGGGGCCATCCCTAAGTCAGTCAGTTAAAACAGTTCATGTCAGCTAGCTGAGGAGGTCTCTTCATACTGAAGTTAGGCAGTCTTCATCTAGAAAGAAAAGTGGAGTGTGACTTTATTCAAAACCTGTCTGTGGGAAGGGGAGCTAATTCCTTTAGAGTGACTGTCTGCTACTCTAGGGGGAAGACCCTAGTAAGAAGGAAAAAAAAAAAAAAAGTTAGAATTCCTCTTTGCGAGCAATTCATTTTCCATTAATACTGCAGAACTGATGGCAAAATGCAAGGCACGCTCACCTCATACATCGGTTTCTTCATGCTTTAGGCACTATAAGCAGCAAGGGAAATGTACGCTCACTATCCCTCTCAAGGCTACTCCAGTTTCTCAGTTTGTATCAGGTGGATTTCCAAGTGGTTACTCTGCAAGACGCAGGTGCCAGCTGAACCTTGACAAGATACAGCAGTGCTAAGACCTGCCACGGAGCTGTGGTATCCCTCTTGAAAAAAATCTTACAGAATTAAGAAAAAGCAAACAACTAAAAGTTTTAACAAACAGGATAAGAGAGTCTTTGCCAATAGATATTGTACACTGCAAACAATCTTCTAATAACGGCACAGGTCTCCTTTTTTTTGGTTTAAAGAAGCTTGTGTTACTGTAGTTAATGCATGAGCAAGACCATAGACTTGTTATTCAGCACAAAACAAGTCATCTAGAAGCTTCGATGTCCCAAGGTATCAGTGACTGTTATTACATAGCTTGGCTTCTGTTTCTGGCAAACAGTCACCAACTAAACAGTGAGGGGATGCCTTTTGAAGAGTATATCTGAAACACAACCACGGAGGTGTGCAAGGCAAATAAAAGTGATGAGCTGCCAGATTTGTTTACAGGAGCTTCTTGTTACTAGACTGTCGAGATCTACTGCAGTAAGCTGAACACCTTGAGGTTTTAGTCACAGGTGCTGCAGGGCTTCTTGTCCTTGTTCAGTGTAGGAGTCATCTTTATTTGAATTTGCCCATTCGCCAAAAGTATCCTGGAAGTGGATGTTTCTCTGTGATGCCTGCATACGTTTCTTATCACGAGAGAAGAAACTAAACCTTCCAGAAAGGGAAGAGGAGTAAGGGAGGGGAGGGGAAAAAAAGAAGACTGTTTACTGGCTTGAAAACACTTCAAACACCCGACGTGATACACGGCACAACAAAACACAGAGCAAAAAAATCCATTTGCATCTGCAAAAATCAAGGCAGTGAAGCCTGATGGGAGTGCATGTCAAAATGTTATTAGAGATGAAGTCATTGCAATCTCAAGCAGTTCTGCTATGGAAGCTTCAAATAAGCTCTAAGTGCTGTTGACTCTACAAGGTGCAGACATCATTTTAGATGCTGCATATTCCCCCACCCTCCAACCCCAAGATAAAGAAGCAACAAAATATGAGTTAGTTTCTTGGCATAAGTAAAGTGGTATCTTTAGCATTAAATCTGTATAATTTACCCTACAGCAGAAAGAGAGAATATTCTTAAGGGTGCCAGCAGGGAAATGCATAAGATAAGAAAATGAGTCTTCAAAATTTTTTCCAAGTGTACAAATTTTGATACATAGGCTCTATTCCTGCATAAATAAATGAATAAATGCACAAAATTGCAAAAGAGTTTGCAGGATGGAGGCTCTAAACAAATGCACACAAATGTGCACGTCATTTCCTGTCACGCAGCTTGGGTGCGCTAAGATAATGACGTACATGAACCAACAGCCGTTTAATACAACAACAAATTGCCAGCTGACAACACAGCTAAAAAATACAACTGGAAGAAATCCTTAGTATAATTTTTGTGTACCATGAAGTTACCTAATTAAGCAAATTCATCTTTTCGATGTTTGTAACGAGTTCCGTACCAGAGGTGTTAGTGCAGTGTTTAAGTCTGCTGAGAAATGCAAAAGTTTTGGTTCCAGCTACCAAGGGTTTGAACTGGCTTGCATACCCTTTTGGTTTTAATGGTGCATTTCAGGAGGTAGACATTGTTTTGCTTGCACAGTACTGAGCATAACGCAGTCCTGATCTAAGGCTGGAATTGCTAAGTGCTTCTACAGTGAGAGACTATCCATACATGAATTCAACTTCAATAGGAGCTAGAATATTTGTCATGGCATAAATGTGGCCCTAAGTCCACTCCTCACCTTCCTCAGCAATCTTCCTCCACCCACACTCCCTTAGGTCTCCCCTCAGTACCATGATCCCAACCGTCCAAGCTGCCTTGTGCAGACCAGGGAGTTTGGCCTTCGATGTCTCTAGTCACATAGGCTGTATGTGAATGTCAGATGAAGTTTAAGGCAGCTTTCCTGAAAAAACATCCTATCAATCATACGTGCAGGTAAGCATGATGATTATTAATGATAAGCTGTTCTTGACGAGAAAGTGATATAAAAAGCTACACAAGTGCAATGCAAGAGAGCTAACATTGCTAGCAGGACCTGAACTTTTGCATTTCCTGGCTTGAAGTGTGCAGCCTTAATAGTGAAATAAGTCTTTTGCACTTAATTAGTCTGGTAGTTTTCTACCACCTTCATCACTGGAGCTTATAAATTCACACACATATGCTATCTCTTTTCAGGGCCAGATCCAATTCCAACTTAAAAGAGAAGCATCTAGTCACTGAGGCTTTCTGCTGGGGATGTTTGCTCCTGCATGGTCAGGCTTAATATCGTGAAGTCCAGACAGAAGACTACTGTATTTATGCAGTAAGTTTTAAACATCAAAGTTCAGTCATTTTTCACGTTTTAAGTAATAGAAAAATGTTTCTGTAAAATTTCTGCACCAAGCAGAAGGGTTTGGCTTTTTTAGTCTTTCAGCAACAATAACAATTGTTATTAGGCCTAGAAAAGTTTTATGGACAATGTTTGAAAAATTATGTCTGTGTGGAGAGGAAGGGAAATTCAAACACTGCTTTGGTGCTGCAGATATAGTGGTGACTGAAGTCAGAGTTCTAATGCAAAGACAGCCTGCATTAACAGTTACAATGTCCAGGGGTAACCAAGAATAGGGTGATAGAATTTATTATTGAGAGTGTATACTCTATTCCAAAACACATAATTAGAGACAAAATCTACAGTGCATAGATTGTAAGACATGGAAGCATCAGCCTATAATAAACACTGGGAATTAATGCATGTATCAGCCATTACATTCTGTAAATCTAACTGATTTGTAACAAGTCAGTAGACTGACATGGTTTTTTTTAAAAAGCACTGGTGTGAATTGTAAATAGGCAGGCTTAGTAAGCAAAATTAACAGATGCTGGTTAAAATTGCATACTGAAACAATTTTCTAAGGAGTAATGATTAATTTAGCATGGTAACATTAAGACGAAAGGCGAGAAAATGTCAACACTTGAGGATGAGCATGGAGGACTACAATGAGTTGCGTACTGACTGGTCATTCTGATTGGCACTTTGCACTTGTGGGACCCCACAAGTAGCCGATGAGAATGCAACCAGCAGCGCATGTTAACACGGGGTCATGCAGAAGGAAACCACGGTACCAAACATTAAAAAAAAACTCCTACAAGGGACACAAGTCTTCTTATTGGCTGCAATGTGGGATCGTCTGGAATCAATCCAGCTGCTACCATGGGCATTATGGCTGTAAAGATCCTGGTCAGGAAAGTACAGACACAGAAGAGATAAGACTGGAGCAAGGGAAAGAAAAAGCATTCCATTAAAAGAAAAGAGGCAAACAAGATACATGGGGTTACTTTGAATTATCACACAGGACATGTTACAGAGCGAGGTGGATCTGCATCACCCAAGACAGCTCCTCAGTGAAAAATTCTTATTTAGCAAAAAAACACTCATTGAAACAGTTTACATTATTTTAGAATTTCTAAAAGATACCACTTTTCTATTGTGAGGCAGCCTGCAATCTGGGTTCAATTTCATCAATTTCACCACCTCTAGCAATGCAGAGCAGAGTGCACATTTTTCTTCCCAAGAAACAAACAGGCACATACATAATGAAATGAAGGATGAAGGTGCATGTTAAGAAATATGAAACAGGGCTCTGCAGTAGCTGCTGGATATTTGCACAGAAAATAGGGTTAGACATGACCAGCATTACAGTTAAAGATTTTGCAAGTGTCACAATTTATAATTTCAAATTAAAAACCCGTAACACAGTTGAAATCTCAAAATGACCCACTCTGCAAGCTACTTTGTTAAAGGGCCTGTGTATCTCTTCCAAACGAACCTGCATTTCTTCACATGCAGAAAGATGCCAACTGCAGGCAGCTAAATACTTGTTTGAAACTTTGCAACTACACTACAGCAGAAACACAAAATCTTTCTAGCTGGCTAGCAGCAAGGCTGTTTCTTCATAAGAGTTCAGCACTTTTACTGCGTGTTGTACAATTCATGCAACTTAGAGGTTGAGAGAGCACGCGGGCTGGGTGCTCTATGCACAGCCAGCCCCACACAAGCCTGCCGACGCACCTTCATCCATACCTGGAACACCCTCTGTTTTTCTAAGGATTCTCCTCAGAGGTTCTCCCTTGTGCCAAATATATTTTTGAACTGTGGACTAATGTCAGTTAAAGATTAAGTTGCAATCAAAACAGACATTTCACTTGTGACCAAATGCAGCTCTCCCCAACATTGCTGTTCTAACTGCTGCTCTTAGATTCAAAGAAAACCACACAAGCAAATACTGTTGTGTCATTAGCAGTAGCGAGAACTTCTGTTTTTACGCATCGTGGCACACAGTTAACTGCAGAAATCAGGCAGACACATCAGCTTTTGTGGACTGCAAGAATAGGAAGAAAACCTATGGCTGTTTCAGGCATTACATCAGTGACAAACAACTATGTATCCTTAAAGAGAAAACAAAAGGGCGTTTTCTGCTCAAAACAGAAGGAGCATTTTTAATCCTGGTACTTTCCCTCCTCAGTAAAGCCTCCTGGTTATATAATTTCATCAAAAATCTGACATGTGATGTGGTAGAGACAAACGTAGAAATAAATCAGTATGAGATCAGAATCCAGTTAGAATTTGCCCCAGCCCCAAATCTGCAAATCCTGGGAGAGGAAAAATGTTGATTCCTGAAACTTGTTTTCCTTTCTTTATTTGGATGCAACACAGAATCACCTGAGCACATCTTAGATGGCACAGGCTATATCTCATTCCCTGAAATACTGCATGGTCAAGGAAAAAAAGGGCACATGATACAGGCAAGCATAAAACTTCTCGAGAGGGCAGTCTATTCAGCTTTTTGCTTAGTCAGGAGGAAAAGGCTGAAACAGGGGGAGAGGCAACCCTACTTCCATTCATAAAAGCACTCTGCATGCAGATACCAGCATTACAAGTTTTCCTGACACCATTAGATATGGAAGGGAGCTCTGGAGGCAGCTCCTTGCAGGCAGGGAGTGCAGGTGGCAGGGGGTGGGAGAGGGGTTATAACAGGACACAACTGATGCTGCACTTGTGTTCTTTGCTCTTTTCCCCAGGAGTGAAATTTCCTGTCTTTTTAGATGTGATATCGCTGTCCCTGCCACCAACCCCTTCTTAGCCGCTGTGGGAACTGCCGGGGTTGTAGGAGTAACCCATCTACAATCACATTGTCCATGATACAGACAGAGAGGAGGGGGAAAAGCAAATAAACCCAAACCAGACAAATCCCATCCAGACAGGCTGCAAGAATAAGACAAACCTAAAAACCATTATTGTTCCTCAGGTTACTTAAAATGCAGAAGTCTTTATCTTCCCTTATTTAATGTGATGGCTAAAGGAAAAGAGAGCAGAAAGAAACCTGGGGACAGAGCATGGCAGCTACAGAAAGTCATCTCCTCTTAACAGCAGGTTCAGTAAGTGCTTCCACATGCCAGCAAGAAGAGGCCAGAGGTGATGCACAGCTTGGAATGATAACCCAAAGTGCCTTTAAATCCTATTGCCTTTTCTGAAAGGGGTCAAAGTAACATGGCTTTACTTTTTACTGCGTGAGTTTTCAGTTATATACATTTAACAGAGAATCTGAGAAACAGAAAGATTAGATGGGTGTCTGAAAATGTGCACTGATTGAATGGTCAGAGGCTTAGCAAGTTTTCGCTGACAAATTAACTAAGAGGAAGAAAGCACTGCAATAACTGATCCAAAACACTTATGTGCCTCCTGCCATGGCTCCCTGCATTGCTTAGGTATATATGCAGAAGACAGAGTCGAACCTAATAACACCTAGTCAGCCAGCATGTGCTGTTTCTTACAACTTCTATTTACATTTTTTGTGCTGCCTTCGCTTCATAAATTGAGCATGGAAACTGCAATCACCACAAAATGTGTAAGCTGAAACCAGCCATTCCCCACACAGAGGGATAAGCTTTAAAAAGCACTAAAATAAATTTAGAAGAAAAGGGAAGAGAAGCTTTACAGTGGAGACCTTGTGAGGCAAAGTATTATTAATACTACAGTTACAGAATGAAAGTTTAAAGCCAAACTTAAAGAGTATTTTCTAGTCACTTGAGAGGAAGGGATCTCTCGGAAGACAAGGCAGCACAGACAAAAGATGAAGTCTACTGAATATAATCAAAAGTGTCCTCTTGACTTTATGGACTTTTGAATCAACCCTGATCTTGCCGTGGAACTTACTCACAGGGCCACTGCTATTAAAAACAAGGTCTGAAGGTTATGGACACGGGGAAAGGATGGGAGGGCTTTTTAGGCAAAAACAAGTAACTGTGCCATAAATCATTCATTCAGTTAAGAAGTTAAGCTTTCAGTATCACAAAAATCCAAAGGCTGGCTATAAAGTTAAGACACTTAATTGGAATAAATAAACATAGAAAGGAGGAGTTTCAACAGACAAACGGATTGGCTAACACTGTGATTTTATAACCAACTCCGATACTAGTAAATGCACACCACTGACAATAAGCTTAGGGTTTGCCCAGCGCCACTGAATACCTCACCAGAGACTCCAGCATGGCAGCTGTTCAGCAAACAAAAGGTTGTTGCACCGTGCATACACACTGCAAGGCCAGGGTCTAAAGGCTCAGTGAACTGGTCAGCAAGGATACAGGCACAGCGAGGTATTAGGGAAACCTTGTTCTCCACACCCAACTGCTACATATCTGCAGTTTGCTTTACTTGCGAAGAACACACTTTGCAAGCCCTCCAAGCGTGACCTAGGGCTGGCAGGGGTGGTGACATTCTACTGCTGCTCCATTCTACCACCTTATGGCCTGTGCAGGAAGGACCTGGGGCTTCTGCAGTAACAGGAACATCCGTTCCTAAAGTCCTTTACTGACTTCAGTTTTGGGCATCTAGGACAGGCAGAGGAGTGCTCTGCATAAAACCGCAATTGTTAGCACCTTCCTTTGAAGTGTGACTGTATGGCCTGGACAATAGCATTCTCTAGGAAGATCAGGTGTCTGTGTTGAAGAGCTCATCAGCTCGTAACAGCTATAATGAACCATGGCCACATGTGCTCTTTTAATTAGCCTGAATATCATACCTGAATATCATACCTAAGAAGGAAGCATTAGAATTAGAGTGGGCTTCTTAGGCACATCAATCTGGTCCATAAGCAAAAGCACGTGGACTACTGTTTTTCTCCCTGCTCCATGCAGGGAGTGGAAGGTATCACAGGAAATAACCCCAGATTGAAAGACGGCCCAGAACTGGGCCAAAGTTATGGCCAAAGTCAACTGCTGTTGCATAAAACCTATCACATGCTCCTTTCTTAAAAAACACTTGCAGACATTTGATATCTCTCCTATATATGTAAGGGATGTGGTTATCTTAACTTTTAAGTTCTTTAAAAAATGTCCTACTCATAAGAGATGTTTAGCATTTGCAGACTATATCCAGTACACTTGGAGAATATGCTACTTACAGTCGTTTGATTCCAGACTCTGGCTGAGTTGAGGTTTTTGATTGAATTATGGGTGTAGGTTGAGGGGATCTAGTTTCTTCTTCTGTTTCCTCACTTGAAAGAAAGAAAGAAAGGATAGTTAACATTGTCCTCCTAGGCCATGGAAACACTTTAAATTCTAAAATCCAGTCTGAGGTAGTACTGTAGATGAAAAGAGGCAAAAGATCTGCTCCAAGCTCACTGAAACCAAAGGGAAAATTTTCTATCCACTTTAGTCTCCTGTTAGTATTTTCCTCCCATTGTGACAAGGAGAGAAATGGATGAAGAAGAAGAATGCAATGAATACAATTACTAGAATTTCAATTTTTGACCCACTTTAATCTTTATTTTTGAAGTCCAAGTATATTACATGTTTGTAATCTTTCTAAGATTCAGTGGGAATCTGGGAGTTAGGCAAGGATACCATCTTCCCGGGTTTTTGAGGAACTAGACACAAACTGAAGCCCTTATGCTTACAAACTGTGCTTTAAGCCTTTGCAGAAATATAAGCTGGTCAGAGACTATTTAAGAACACATGTATTGTTTCTAAGACCTGCTGTACAGCTCCTATGTGAATCACATGCAACAGGACAGGTGCACCTAGGAGATCTAACCTACCTTTTGTAATATAAAAGCTCCTCTTGAAGTAAAAACACTTTAGATTTCAATTCATTCCGCTCATGAAGGACATCCCGGAGCTCCTGCAAGGTGAATCTTGGACGATTTGGATCTTTTAAGTCCACTGCCATCTTTTCTGACTCTGAGAGGCAGTCATCGTTGTTTGGTTCTGTCTAGGAAGTGAAACACTGGCTTTAAATTCATCACGTGAATGCATGTCTGAGGCATTTAAAGTCTTTATCAGTTTAGTCCCCGACCTCTTCAGTACTAATAAATCCTCTCTTAAGAGAAAAAAAGCAATTTTAAGAGGAGAAACATTTAGGTGGAATTTGCTTTTCATGTTTAAGATCCTCAGCAAGAACAACTCAGTGTTGGGACCTGCAACCAATGCCCTGTGCTCACAGGAATATTCCATAGAGTGATATTTGGGGGGTAGGGGTGGGGTTTACAAAACAAACAAAACACCAATTGTTTCTAGCAGCCTGAATGCAGGGTCTAACCTGAGCTGCCTTACAGGTGACGAGTTTTCTTGTGGAGAAATTCCTGTGGAAGTCAGACTGACAGAAAGTCAGTTAAAAATGTATAGTCTGATTTTTATAAGTCAGTTTAAGGAAGGTATACTTTTAACAAATGGGGTGAATCAAACATTAGCTTTTTACATAAGCAATGAACAAATTGCATGGCAAAGACCCTGACAATTTCTCCCAGAAAGAGAAAGCTCCTTTGGACATAACTATATTAAGTGGCTATTTAAGGTCATATCTCTTTATTGCTTGTATTTAAAAATGCACATTGATGTCAGTACCAGGGATCTAGCTACAAAGTAGAGGAAATTGCAGATGAGCGCTAGATGATGCATTTATACATGTGTACCCTCATCTCTCCTTTTCCTCTGAAAAGAATTAATTGAAAGTTTGGAGAAATTTTTGCTTTCACCTCCAGTTTCTGTGGCTCCCAGCAAGCCACAACTTGCACTCTACGGACATGGTTGGATTCCCAGGCCTGTGCGGCTGCTTCCTGTCGCCCAGGTAGACCCTAGTGCTTGTGCAGAACTATTTGGGCTAAACTGCTCATGGAAATATGGCTTGCGTGAGCACGGCCCACAGAAGAGGGGCATCATGCAGGTTCTCCAGCCTTGTTCCACTCGGTGACATCATGTGACTGCACAGAGCTGAGGACCGGCTAATGAGAAATCACAAGTCTCTGGGAAGGGCGCTCAGAATCAAGGTGCTGCAAACCAGCTACAAGCCTGAGGAGGTCTGCAAGATTTCTAACTATAAAAATAAACACAGGGCATCCTGTTCCAGCAAAGTACATTTGAAATGTGATGCTTTCTGCAAAGGCTGACTGGAGGCCAGCACATGAAATCAGAGATGCTGGCAGCCAAGCCACCCCCCTACCCTCCTGGTGAGAGGCAGAGGTGAGAGTCCCGGAGCTCCTGTGCTGCTGTAGCACATTGCTGAGATACAAGCTGGAGATAATTCCACTGCCTTAAAGACCCTTAAGTATGCCTTTTCTAGCTAACTGTCAACCACCTAAACATGTAAAACTCTTGGTACTCCAAGTGGGAAATGCACAGGCGGATGTAGATATCCTATCCTAGGAACAGCTTATGAGAAACAGCTCTCTACCCGTTTCTACATTAATAAAAAGATTTCTATACCTTAGTGACTTAAAGGTTTAACTCCTGTTGTCAACATTAAACAAATAAACAAAATAGTCCTTCCAATAGCACAGAGATTTGTAGAGATTCAGAGACAAGTGGCACAGAAAAGGAAACACAGGAGCTCAGTGAGGACTAGAGAGGAGGAGGGAGGACTAGGCCTCAGGGAGGACTAGAATTTAGCCTAAGAGCTGGGAAGAGGTTTTGGAATAAACAGTCCAAAAACCACCATGCAGTTTTAGGTGCGTCATGATTTTCTCTGAACTAGGAAAAGCAAGCCTCAAAACCTCAAGTCTCAAAACTACATACATAAGAAGACTTCATTTGATTGGCCTGAAGTGATTTTTTGCTAGTGGTAACAGAAAACAATGAGCCAGGAGTTCTGGCCCTTGTCTCCTCTTCACTGCTAAGTGAGAAGGATTAGGCAAAGGGAGAGGCCAAGAGCGGGTGTGTTCTGCTAAAGGCAGATATTCTTCATGGGAGATAAGGAGATGAAATACAATAATTCTGACTTGCTCTGAGACCTTACAGAAGTGCAGCATTTTAAAGTAGCAGTTTCTAGCTTTGCATCCCTGAGGCGCTGGATGAGATACCCTGCTCAGCTTCTACAAAAGAGATTGACAATGGAACTCCATCATCTAAACGTGAGGAGCTAAGTACAGAGACTCGTAGAGTCCATTTTTTGCAGGCTTGATCCTACCCTCTCCCAAGCTCACGTCTGTGAAACAGTTTTGATCTCTATTGATCTATTGTAGTTTCAGGTTAAACTTTGCTGAGCTGAGGCTGGTACAACACCGACTACTACAGCAGGGACTGTAGTCCTTTTCTTATAAAGACAAAACAGCAGAGCAATGTTCACTTGTCCATTTCTGTCTGATTCATCCCATTACTCCAAATGCATTTCTTTATACAGTTTACAATAAATAAAGATAGATGCACCCTGACGAAACGTTCAAAGGAATTTACCTCAACACCTTTCCTCCTCTCCACCCCACTGGGTTAGGGTCTGAGCTGACGCCTCTTCTTTTGGTTTTATCTCCACCCCCCACCTTTCCCCAAGGAAGCCACTTTTTGCCAGATTTTGCCCAAGTCAGCAAAGACTGAGGAGCCTGTAGCCAGTGCAAATGCACTCGACCGAAGCCAACAAGCAGTGTTCATTCCAGAGCATGCAGCTCTTCTAGCTTTCAGAAGAGGTGCCATTGCCATGAAACCGATGAGTTAGAGAGGGGAAAGAAAGCATCCTTTCTCTCCAGACACTGAAGACACTTTCACTCTTGCTGGCTCCAGGCCTAGGCTCCAGAGCCCCATTTACAAAGCTGGGTCTCCTGGCTGCATTAGCAGCAATGAAGTCATCCCTTTCATTGTTAATACAGTGCGGGCCCGATTCAACAGGGACATGTTAACACTGGCTGTCACATTCCTTGGGGGACCAGGGTACCCCGTCAGCCTTTGCTTCTGCTTTCTGATATATATTCCTGCCTCCTACAAACAAATTAGGTGTTTCACTCTCTGCTTCTGTTTATCAGGCATTTGCACTACTGCCTTGCTTCTTAAATGGCTTGGTACTGGTGCTCTTCCTAGCACACCCAAATAGCTCTATACGATAGTGCTCCCCGGAGTTCTTTCATATCATGATACCCCTCATTCTATTTGTGCTATTCTAAGAGCAGCATGAGGAGGGGAAATACAGCACATTTGCTTGAATAAGACAGAAGTACAGTGTTGTACGCACAAAGGAAAATAACAGCAGGAACCCTAAGGAGAATTAAGGGATGCAACAGAGCAGAAGCTATCCCTTTTTCTCAGGAAGCTCCCCTTGAGTTTCCATTCCTACTACTCTGATCTCAGCACCAAGCCAATTTGCAAATTGTCTCTTTGCCTGTTCTTGCAAGTACTTGAGTATGCAAGCATCAACATTTGCTTTTTGTTAACATTTGTGCTAGGAACACTTCACTGCACAAATTCTAATAGGAAGCGAAAGCAAGAATAGGGCTCAGGTTGCTTCCTCTAAAGCAGGCCTACAAATATTTATATGTTAATTTGGTAGCAATAGACCAGCTCAGTCCTGGCACCATGAGGGCCAAGTGTACTCTCACTCATTTCTGTAGCCTGAGATCCCAGCCTCCCTGTCAATTCGTGGATTAAGAAATTCCGACTGCTCAGTTCTGAAAAACTGCAGTGAGGCAATGGATGGAAACGTGGTCAGAGAGAACAATGATGTGATAGCAGAAAAGCACATGAAGACTCGTTAGCTCAGCAAAACTTCTGTAACTGTTATCTTTCCACAAAGAGCTAAGCCTTCTCCAAAGGATTAAAGACTCTACTTTCAGCCAAAATAAACCATTTAAAGTTCCTGTACCAAAGGGAATGATTTAAAAAAAGATAACCATATTCTATAGGACAGCAGAGCAGGTGAAAAGACTCATTCACATCACAGATTCCTGAGCAACCCCTGGTTCTTGGAAATGCTGCTCCTAGTCAAACCACTGGCACAACCTGGGCTTGCCTGTGCTCAGCCAGGAAGAGCTTTCCCAGGGAGACAGCAGGCAGCCCTCTCTGTTTTTCAGATAGAAGCAAAAGGGGTAGCCCTTTTATTTTTAATTCCTGATGTAAGTCTGGAGGCCTGAGGAGGACAGGTGGCATTTTAAGTTTATGAGACGAAGCAGGGATTTCAGGCCAAAGCAGGCATGTTCCACTGAATGGCAGCATCCTGCCCTCAGGTACTGCCTGCCTGCAGAGTTCTGCATTTTCTCTGGGACCCCTCCTGACACAATTTTCTTCTCTACTACAGTTCACATGCCACAACCATCACAGTGCATTGCACCTTTGGGATCCATTAGAGCTTGCAGATTTGCCTGCTCGGCAAGGCTTAAGCTGCTTGTCAGCTATTCTCTTTTGGAAACCCCAGACTGTTAGGAGATCAGTTTGCTTTACTTTGGGGGAAGGGGTCGATGTGTGCAAACAAAATGATCTCAAACACACTAACAAAGCACCACCAAAACATTATTTGCCTGAAATACAACCTAACAGCTGTTACTGCAGAGATTTTGGATTGCCTCATGACATTTTTAACCGCACGCTCTCCTTTGAAGAAATTATTTGTTCTGTTGTCTGGTGAATTCTGCAGCCTAGTGCATGATTCAAAGGTTAGGCTCCCCAGGACATGCGGAGAGTAGCCAAGTCTCAGGGGAGAGTAGACTATGGTCTGCTGTTCCCTATCCCAGACACCCCACTGCTGACCTGTCCTCCCACCCCGCTTTCTGGGCAACTGATACCTCTCCTCTAGGAAGGAGGGCTCTGTTCCCTGGGTCACCATCTGTCTACATGTATACCTTATGCATGAACCCAAGATGATGTCCTTGAGTCCCACCATTGCCTCTAATGTACATCAACCACTTTTATCTGAAGAAGGGATGCTTGGTATGGCCCCCAAGGATCTTAGAAAGGCTGTTTAAAAGAGAATTAGAGTGCCTCTTACCTTTATTTCTTCCCCATTTTGGCTGTCCTCACCCTGCAGTTTTTCTCTCAGTTTCCCTAGCTCTGCTCGCAGGCTGCCCATCTCCTGCTCCTTGGTTTGCAAGTACGCTTCCAGCTCCACCTTCTGCTCGATCAGCGCCTTCCCCTGCGCCTCAACAACGGTGATCCGGTGCCGCAGGTCGTGGTTAATTTTCATTAACCTGTTCTGTTGCTGTTGAAGCTGCAAAACATTGATGCAGTAGTTAAGTATCCATTCAGCCATAGCGATTACATCTCAAACAATATGTTAAAGAATAAGTAGCAGGTTCCTGTTAAATTTAACCTGGAAAAAATCTTCACCCTCCTAATTATTATTTTTTTAATATCTAATTATCTGCTACAGTTGCAGTCACCAAAATCTCTTTAGTTGCTGTCAGAATGAGGCGCTTTTCCCCCAGCACAGGGAATTATCTGGCTAAAAGCAAATCTATCACTTCAAATACCATGCTTCAAAAAAGCAATGTTCAAGGACAGAGTAGCTTACGGGTTTCTGAATCAAATCTTAACCCAGAGCGGAAGTGATAAAAACAAGACGTATCTAGACAGGACAGAGAAATCTGAGACAGAGACTCTTCTCAGTGGTGCCCAGTGACAGGACAAGAGGCAATGGGCACAAATTGAATGACAGGAAATTCCATAGGAATATAAGAAAAAACTTTTGTACTGTGAAGGTGGTTGAGCGCTGGAGCAGACTGCCCAGAGAGGCTGTGGAGGCTCCATCCTCGGAGGTATTCAAAACCCGACTGGACATGGTCCTGCTCAAGCTGACCCTGCTGGAGCAGGAGGTTGGACCAGACGATCTCCAGAGGTCCCTTCCAACCCCAACTATTCTGTGCTTCTCTGAGATCCTTAGTATCCAGTTATTACAAGTCCTTTGCTTTGAGCCCCTAGGTGCTCTTATAATACAAGATGTGACCTGCCAGGCATTGAATGAACAACACCTATTGGCTCTGAAACGCCACAGCACCCCAGAGGCCCTTGGGCAGAGCAAGAACTGTCTCTAAGTCTGGCTCTCACTAGCAGCCAGAAGAGGCCTGTAAGGAGGGGAAGCAAAATATGGGTAATCATTCTTCCTAACATAGAAAGAACCAAGACATCATTTGTTTCCCAGGGTCACAGTGGAGCCTGTGACTCATCTGAGACTACAGCCTTATCTCTTGCACTGTGGTCGCCCAGGTCACCCATCCTCTCAGTGACTGTCTGTTCACTGCTGGCAAAAGTAAGTGAACTGGGCTCGGCTCAGGCCCTTTCCTCCCTCTCTCCTACCATTTCCTTGTGCAAACAGGTAATCCACATTGCATCCTTCGTGCAGGAGTGGAGAGTCTCTGCTGTCAGACTCTACAGGAAGTATGTATATAATATATAGTAGCCTTCTCATCCAAAGTTGGGACCTCTGCATGGGGTGAAGCATTGGGGTGATGAGGAAGTTTTCACTGCCAAAGCAGAGAGAAATTTATAAAGCCAGAGGAAGCTGCCTGCCCTGTTTCCATGAAAGCGAGGATGTATCAGGCCCTTAGGGAAACTAACAAAACAACCTGACCTTCACCCATCTTCTTCCCTTGTCACACTGGTTTCCAGTCACCCTCCAAGTGCCTCTGGTCCTTCCAAATGCAACAGAGGGTGTGTGGCTGCGCCGAAGACTGCCTAATTATTTTGCACGCTCCACAGTTAGGCAGAACACTTCAGATGCTGGGCTGCTAATCTGGCATTGCTTACTAATTTTAAATTAAATTAAAACTTGAAAGAATGATATGGAAGCACAGGTGAGAAAGAAGGAGAAGAAAATAGGAAGAGCAAGAACCACTTACAGCCTCTACATCCTCGTTTTTAAGTCCAAGTTCCCGGTCCTTCGCCCTGATTTCATCCCTCTGTTTATCTACCACTTCCTTCAGCTTCTTCATGACTTGCCGCTCTCTTTCTGACATTCCTGGTTTAAAAAAAACACAGAAAACAAACTGAGGACAAGCAGGAGCTGCCGAGACTGAGAACAATAACAGTGAGAAACATTTGGGTAAAAGCTCTGGGAGTTGCCTGCTGTGGAAATCAAAAAGAGACTGTTGGCCGATGCTTTGGATAAAACAAGGTTACTACAGGGATTATTAGACATATTACAGGCATAATAGGGAACATAGATGATACAATCCACCCTGCAAAGTCACTGCACAGAAGGTCTTGAAAACCTTGACAGTCCTCAGAAGCATTTGTAACAGTGAAGTAATATTGCTATGTCTTGCTACCTCAGTGGTTTTACATCCACTGCAACGTTCACATTATGTGCCGGGGAGTTTGGTTATTTGTGTAATAACTTGTAGAATCAGCTGACCAAGACACTGTGAAAACTGTAAGAAATATAGGCCCATCTGGGTCCTCGGCAAGATCTGAACATTTCACTGTGGTGAATTGCATCTAAATCCAGACCAGCTGAGATGTGCTGGGTTAGACTGATTGCATGTTGGAATCCAAACTAACAGCTTTGAGTTGGGTGGAAGGGTGGAAGACTGCAAGAGCTGGGCCTGTTCAGCCTGGAGAAGAGAAGATTGAGAGGCGATCTCATCAATGTGTACAAGTATCTGAAGGGGGAGTGTCAAGAGGATGAGGCCAGACTCTTCTCCATGGTGCCCAGCAACAGGACAAGAGGCAATGGGCAGAAACTGAACCACAGGAAGTTCCATCTGAACCTGAGGAAAACATTCTTTACTGTGAGGGTGACAGAGCACTGGCACAGGTTGCCCAGAGAGGTAGTGGAGTCTCCTTCCCTGGAGATATTCAAAACCCGTCTGGATGTGATCCTGGGCAATATGCTCTAGAGGTCCCTGCTTGAGCAGGGAGGTTGGACTAGATGATCTCCAGAGGTCCCTTCCAACCTAAACCATTCTGTGATTCATTCTGTGATTCTGTGATGAACCAGGACCTCTAAAGGGTACCCCATCCCTGAATCAAGAACAGACATTTAGTCTAAATTATGGTCGCGTATTTTCTCTGCATGTTTTGCTACCTTTTCCCCATCCCATTGTACGATAATTCACATTTAGAATAATTGTGCTTTGGAGAAAAATACTAAATGACATTATATTTCAGAGAAAAATACTAAATGGCATTTTGCTTGTGGAAGATATTTGGAATACTGCCAATAATCCAACATTGATTCTGTTTGAAGACGGATAAGGGATTATATTAACCTGAAGTCTGATCAACAGTTCGTTAGCAAAAGTCATAAATCACAAAACAGGAAGCATTCTTCCATTCTTTGCCATTACAGAGATAATCAAGAGCTCCTGGGATATCCTGCCAACAGACCAGATTTAACTTGGTGAGATGGTAAATTTATTATACTAACTCATCATAATTGCTGTACAGAGACACGCAGTTTGAGGGTCCTAATCTATCACATTAAATCACTTTGCACAACCTCCTGTGGGATGACTTGAAGACGAAAGGCTGTGACCAGGCATTGTATGGCTGTAGCAACTCTTTGGTGGACAGGCACTTCTGCAGCAGCCATGGGTTCCCAAGCAGGTGTACAAAGTGTATGACCGTGAACAGGGAGAACAACAGCTCTGATCCCTCCTTGCAAAAGGGCTTGGAATCTCCTAGAACTACAGTACAGCAGAGGACAGGTAACTCCTGTGCTGGGAAAAGCAGCAGTCATCGGGGATGGCTGGTGAGTTGGTTTAGAGGATGTGTTCCTGTCAAACCCCTGAAAACACCTGGGAGTGATGCAGTGTTCATATTCAGTGTCTGTGATAAGCCTGCCTGCTTTATTTCTGGAGCCTGGTTCTCTTAGTCTCTCTCACAGGTTCTGGTACATTGCAGGATACTTTTCATTCTTCACTGGGATGGGAATGGCTCATATTCCACCGGGAGGACAGCTACACTGTGACACACACTGCTACTTGCTCTTTTAAGAGAGTCACACTATCCTATCACAACATAAGTCTGGAGTGGTGGAATCCTACACCCAGCTCTGAAACCTCCCTGATC